TATGTAAGGTTGCACATGCTTCAGGTGCCTTAGGGAGGATACTGGGTGTCCTACCCTGTCAATTTCTGCCATATTCCCTTGAGACAGTGTTTATTTGGAGCTTGGCTGGAGTGCAGCGAGCCCCAGCAATGCTGTTTCAGACCACCACGCTAGGGTTACAGACACTCACCCATGCTCACATGCTGGGGATTTGAACTCAGGTCCTTGTGCTTGGACAGTAAGTACTCTATTCGCTGAGCCATCTTTTCAGCTTCCCCAGAAAACTGTGAGTTCTCAGCCTTCTAATTTCACTGGAGAGCATTATGGTCAGAGATTTCATTTCTTTTCATTTCCCTGATCACTCTGTTTTACTCCTTTCCAAGTTTCAGAGAAAACTGAGCCAGAACCGCGCTCCCCTTTGAGGCACATTACTTCTCTTTTGTGACTCATTTCACCAAGAGCTGGCCAAATTGCACAGCACAGATTGGAGGATTTGTTACTTTCAACTCTGAAACTTCAAACTAAAATTTTCCTTAACATCTCTCCATATTGACCTCACTTGACTCAAGCTCCTAAGAAGATTGATATGATCCTCCTGGCTCAGGTATCTACCACAGCGCCCAGCTGGCCCTCCCTGCCCAGAATTATTACAGCAGCACCAAAATTCTTCATTCTTCTTAGATATGATACCAAAGGTATAAACACAAGAAAAAATAATAAGTTTGATTTTTGTACCATGAATGATGTCACCGAAAGAAAAAATACAGCAGAAAATAGTTGCAATGTATTCTTACACTGCAATAAGAAATGTTAAAAAGGCAAATCTCTGCATAGACATTTCTTTTTTAAAAAAAGGCAGAAAAATGACCATTAAACACATGAAAAGTACATGATCCAGGAATTCTACTCCTTGGTTTCTAACCAAGAGAATTTGAAGAGTCATATATATGTATTCAAAACTTTTTTTTTTTTTTTTTTTTTTTTTTTTTTTGTTTTTAACCGAGACAGGGTTTCTCTGTAGTTTTGGAGCCTGTCCTGGAACTAGCGCTTGTAGACCAGGCTGGTCTCGAACTCACAGAGATCCGCCTGCCTCTGCCTCCCGAGTGCTGGGATTAAAGGCTTGTGCCACCACCGCCCGGCTGTATTCAAAACTTTTAAGCAAGCATTACTAACAGCATTATAATAGCAAAAAGCAGAAACAATTTTTAATGTTCAACAGTTGAAGGGCCGACAAAAATAGTACACCTGCCTCAGAGTGGAGTATTATTCATCAACAAAAATTAAGTATTGGTAAATTATGAATAGATCTTGAAAACATGTTAAGGGGGCTGGAGAGGTGTCTCAGGGAAGAGGTGTCCTGTTTTTAACAAAGGACCAGTTTCAATTCCTAGCACCCATGTCTGGGGACTCAGTCTAAAAGTTAACTCCAGGAAATAGGACATTTCTGGTTTCCATGGGCACTTGTTCTCATGTGCGAACACACACACACACACACATACATTTAAAAAAACATGTTAAGAAACTAATCTCAAAACATCACATCACATACTGCATTTCATTTACATAAAATTCTAGTAAGGACAAACCTAAAGAAAAAATATAAATTGGTGGTTTCCAAGGGTTGAGAAGGGGAAAGATTAATAAATGGGTACTAGGTCTTCTTATGGTAAATATGTGATGGTACTCTACTCTGCAAAAATACTAAATACCATTAGAATGTATACATTAAGGAGATTAAGGGTAGCATTTGTGTTCATTTCTATAAAGACCTTTAAATTCTTCCATGAAAATGATCATGTGTATATATTCTCGCTAATATCATTAAGTCTGAAATAGTTGTACTCGTGTGAGCTTTTCAGTTATGTGATTGCGAGGATAAATCAGCAAAGGAGTATTGCAAGCTTTATCATTTATAATGTAATTGAAAATTACATTTATTGTACGTAGTGGTGGGTGTGCTCATGACGTGACTGGTATGTGGAGGTCATTAAGACTCTGTGTAGGACCTGGGATCTAACTCAAGTGGGGTCTTTACCCACGGAGCCATCTCCTCACTCATTCTTTTTTTTTTTTTTTAAACTGGGTCCTAGCTGGGCGATGTTGGCGCACGCCTTTAATCCCAGCACTCGGAAGGCAGAGGCAGGCGGATCTCTGTGAGTTCGAGACCAGCCTGATCTACAGAGCTAGTTCCAGGACAGGCTCCAAAGCCACAGAGAAACCCTGTCTCGAAAAACCAAAACAACAACAACAACTGGGTCCTTATATAGCCCTAGTTGTCCTGGAACATGCTGCACAGACTACGCTGATTTTGAACTTGTCGCAATTCCCTTGTGTGGGCCTCCCCAGCTCTGGAATTACAAACCTGTGCAACCGCACTGGTGTTGTTTAGTTTGGTGGTGGAGACAAGGGTTTCTATGATATTTTAGGCTCGTCTTGAATTTTTGAAGGAGAATGACCTCGAACTCACAGCAATCCTCCTGCTTCAGCCTCCTGAGTGCTGGGATTACAGCCACTATGGTCAACTCGTTTTCTTTTCTTTTTTTTAGGTTAGGAGTAATTTGGAAAGCTCAGGAATCTCATCCCTGGTTTTGGACAACTTACACTGAAGTAGTAAATTCTTTGGCTTATAAATAAAGGGTGATTATAGCTCGTACATCTTGATTTCACGAAGTGAAAAGCAACTATTTAGGAGACTGGACTTCTATATTTTCATCCGAGTAGCCAGAAATAGAGCACACAGGCTCTATTCCACGTGGAGTATCGACCTTTGCTGATTAATTATATAACAGTTTTGTCGCACAATCGCTCCCAGAAAACCAGCCAGCGCTCTTTGGGGTCAAGGACGGCGTGATTCAGCGGTAAACGTTCCAGTGTCCTCTTTACTGTTGAGGACTGAGCCAGGAGACGGATGGTATGTAGGTCTGAGGTCCTCGGGGATCTCTGTTCTCACCAGGGTGGGGAATTGCACGTCGAGTTCGGCTGCCTCTCCGATCCCAGCAGGAGCTCCTACAGGACTTCTCCGACCTCGCTTAAATCCTGGACGCGCAAACTCGAGACTCGTTGGGCTGTAAGCAAGTTCCATTCCAGGCACTCGAAACGGATTCTCCGTTGTTGCAAGTTAACCGACTAACTCCCAAGAATAGTAAAGTGAACCTAACACCATCTCCCAAAGCACTACCGGGTTTTTTCCTCACCCTGCCCCTTCCAGTACCCATTTTCCGGCCCACTTCCTTGGTTTAGACGCTTGGCACTTGGGATTCTCTAGAGCAGCAATTCTCAACTTTCCTAATGCTAATACAGTTCCTCATGTTTGGTCACCCCCAACCGTAAAATTATTTCCGTTGCTGTTTCATAACTGTAATTTTGCTGTTAGGACTCGTAGGTATCTGTGTTTTCCGATGGCCTAAAACCCCTGTGAGAAGGTCCTTCGGCCCCAGAGGGGCCCCGACCACACAGGTCGAGAATCGCTGCTCTACAAGGACTTAATCAGGCTCCAAGTCAAACCAGAGCAGCCCAGCAGAGCGCGAAGGCAGAGCGACACTTCCCCGGGGCTTCGTCACGAAGGGCGTAGGGGCGTGCTTTTATGACGTAAAAGAGGGAGGGGCAGAGGCCAACGCCGGGGACTCGGGCCGCGGGGCGGAGGGGCGGAGGGAGTGGCGGGAGCCCCATTCCACGCCTTAGGACTTTCCATCTTGAGGAAGAGGGGAGTCTGTATTCTCAAACCCCCTTGAGGAAAGAAATACCATATGTAAACCTTCATTTCAAAGCCGCCATATTTATGACGAGTTTTATATGTATATCTTACTGACGTCCGGCTTTCTATGTCCGTGATTGTGAAAACCTTCACGCTTCCTTTCCCGTCTCCCCCTTCAATCCTGCACACATGTTAGCGGCCGGCCAGCGCGCAGGCGCAGAGCGCTCGGGGTGGCGCCGCTGAGGGGCGGGTGACGCAGCGGCCGTCGCTGCCATTTTAAGTTGTTTGTTCTTGTTTCTTTTCCTCAAACGCGACTCAGCCCCGGACCCGGGAGTCTCCCGAGGCAGCCGCCGCTTCTGCAGCCCACTCCGGTGCGGGGGAAACGAGGCTGTGGACGCTCGCCTTCCTCCACTTCGGCTTTGTTACCCCATTCCTCGGGGCTCTCTCGGACTGTGTGCCCGGCGGGCGAAGCAGGCCTCGGGAGCCGACGCTTGAACTGAGACAACTTTGCCGTGCTCACTCCGCGGACAGGCCGTAGCGCAGGGCTCCCCTCCCCTCCCCGTCCCTCCCGCGCGCTCTCCTCCGTCCTCGCCGTCTCTTTCCCCCTTCCCCCCCGCGCCGCGTCCTTCCCTCCGTCCGAGCCCGGGGCGCCGAGCCCGACTATGGGGCCCAGGTGGGGGCTGAGCGGCGGCAGCAGTGCGCGCGGCCCGGCCACAGAGCGCAGCGCAGCGGGCATGGAGGGGCTCCGTCGGCCCGTCGTGTTCTCTTGACATGGCTCCCGCCCGCGCCACGAGCAGCGCTCCCGCCGCCGCCGCCTCCTCCGCCGCCGCCGCCGCTCCGCCCGCAGGCTGCGGCTAGACGGCCCTCCGACGGTCGGCCTGCGAGTCCCGCTCTCCTCTCCGCGGGGACCCCGCCCTGCCGCCTCGATCCCGGCCTCTGCCCGCCCCCCCTTGGGAAACCACCCAGCCGCCCCCACTCGGGAAACATGGGCTGTTGAACGGGAAAAGCGAATCCAGAACCCGGGAACTTCATTCCTTTCTTTTTTTGGGGTGGGAGGGTGGGCTTCCTTTAAGAAGTAATTCTTATTAACACGATTATTTTCTTCTTTTCCCCTCCCAACTGATCCTTCCCACTTTATTCTCTTTCCGCCTTTTCTACCCGGGCGGGAATTCTTTCCACGGTGAAATGAGTGAGAACCCGAGTGATCCAGTGTCTCCCGTGGTGCGAGTGAGTCGCTGCCGCTGAAGGCGAGGGGTGGGGGTGGGAACTGGGGGTCGACGGCAGGTGATCCCCGGGCCCGGCCTGGGACGTGGGAGAACCCGCCACCTTTGCCTCAGCCATGCTCACACGAAGATAATCGAACTCCCCACCATCCCGAACCTGAACGGGGTCAAATTTATACGGAGGGCTCCCCGGGGAATGTAGAACCCACCTCAGGGCTAAGGGTGCTTGGATCCGGGGCATTAATCAGGGCTAATCACAGAGCCGGAATAACTATTAATATCGTTTAATAGACCCCCCTTTCCCTTTGCCATCATGGTTCTCCTTGGCAGCAGCGTTCGCAGCCGCCTGAGGGTGAAAACGTGGGTGATGGGGAAGTTGGTAATGACTCCGCTGTTTTTTCTCATGGCTCCTTTGGGCAACAGCTGTCCGCCCCCGGTATACACTGTAGTTGATTGCAGGGAAACCCTGTACCTCTCCCCTTCTTTCTCTGCTGATTTTGCACTTTCCTCCTTGCTCACCACCAAGTGTAATCAATAGCAAAGCACTGACAGTACATAGCAGTAGTGAAATCTGAAATAACTAAGAATTAATCAGGTACTGCAGCCATGGATCTGGCTGGGTAAAATCCAACTGGGGATTTCAGTTTCATTCACCTACCCTGTTTTGGTGGTTTTCGTTTTTTTTTCCTCCCCCCCCCCCTTTTTCTATATTTGGGAAGCAACATCACAATTTTCCCTCCTTTTTCCTTTTCCTAATCCCTTTTCTTAAAAGGGGGAAAAATCCGGATGGATTTCAAGGATTGGACTGGTGTCAGCTGTGTTTTATTGCACACCTAAATCCTGATGATAGATTTTTCACTTCCCCTTCAAAGCCTTTTATCTCGGCAATTTAGCCAAATGCGTTTTCCAGAAAGTTAGTTCGAAGTTTTTTCTCCTCTTTCCTTCCTTGCCTTCCCCTTTCCCACCTCTCCCCTAAACATTATTGTCCAAACATGACTGGACAGCAACTTTTGTTTCTTGACCCTGTGGTATGACAGTCTGCTAATATTGCCAGAAGGTGCAGTTTGGGGGTTACAGTTGTGATTTTAGCTATTCAATCATATTAGCAGGAAAAATGACTTGTTTCTGTTGTACTTGAGTCTTAAGAAAAAGTGCCCATAGTTAGTGACAGTTTCCAAAGGCTTTAGTACCACCTGTGTTTCACAATGGGGGACCCAAACTCCCGGAAGAAACAAGCTCTGAACAGACTGCGTGCTCAGCTTAGGAAGAAAAAAGAATCTCTAGCTGACCAGTTTGACTTCAAGATGTATATTGCCTTTGTGTTCAAGGAGAAGGTAATTTAAGTTCCTAAGTGATTTTTGCAAGTGCATATTATTTGTTATTTGAGTATTTTGTGCATATTAGGTTTGAGAGTGTGGAGAAAGACTACTTTGTGTTTTTGCCCTTAGGGATAATTCTGTGAAGTGAGTTCTTGCAGAAAATGGAGTGCTTTTGTATATTATTTGACTTTGAAAAGTAATTCAGAATACATTTTTAACTGACACGGGACTGAGTAACTGTAAAACTTTTATGTGGAACAAAAGGAACTTTATGAAGTTGTAAGTAGGATGTTGTGTTACAGCAGAATCAAATGTTTATATGCTAAATTTAGTCTGTTACTTCAAATCTTAATAGTTTCATTTCTTAGGGTATAGTTAACGAAACAATACTTTGCAATATTTAGGAGCAATTAAATATTGAAATTGTAAATTTTTGTTTAGAATTGCTTCTTTTTTACAATTAAAAATGATCTATGTGAGTGTGATCTAGTTCCACAGTTAAATATCAGATGCATTTGAGTTATGAAAGTCAAGGAAAATGCCGTAAAAGCCATATTCTTTGGCAACTCAAAGTGGACAATTATCAACAGAGCTGTTTGACGTATGATTGGGTTATGACTAAAGGAAGTGCAACTTTGACTTATGCACTGAAAGTAGTTTGCTGATCAGAAATGTAATCTTAGCGTGATATCTATTTAGTAATTTTTATAAGCTTCCGCATTTATTCCCCAATCTTAAGTTTTTTTCTTCAGCTGTTAAGAGTATTGTAGTGTCCCAGAGTAGTTGTATTGATGAGCCATTTTCACATTTTCTGTTTTTGTCTGTGTGTGCTGTTTTTTTTTTAATGTGTTGATAGCAAATTTGATAAGATCTGATTATAATTTGGTTGAAGGTTGCAATGTAGGTTCTCTGAATCCAAGCTCCTTTTTTGTTTTGATTGGAGACAGCATTTCTCTGTGTAACAGTCCTTGCTGTTCTGGAACTCGCTGTTGTAGACCAGGCTAGCCTCAAACTCAGAGATCCCGTCTGCCTCTGCCTCCCAAGTGCTGGGATTAAAAGCATGCACCACCACCCGACTTGAATCCAGGCTCTTAAGTGTCAAAATTAGATAGACTTTTGCACATAATTCATAGGGTAATGAGCACTTGATCTTAACTAATTTGGAAACACAATTTACCGTTTCTCCCTTCTTTTAAACATTGATAATTGTAGTCAGATAATATCCAGAAAAGGTAATTGAACTTGATATAATTTCAGGAATAAAATAGTTAATTCTTTTGAATACTTGTGTGTTTTAAACTAGTGAGATTTTAATTCAGTTGCCTGTAGAACCAGTTAAGTGAATTTATGTAAGCACTGTATCACTGAATTTTTTTTCTTTAGAAGAAAAAGTCAGCACTTTTTGAAGTGTCTGAGGTTATACCAGTCATGACAAATAATTATGAAGAAAATATTCTGAAAGGTGTGCGAGATTCCAGCTATTCCTTGGAAAGTTCTATAGAGCTTCTACAGAAGGATGTGGTACAGCTCCATGCTCCCCGATACCAGTCTATGAGAAGGGTAAGTAAGTTCTGGAAGTCTTGACTTACTTAGGAAATGAGTTTGTGTGAATTAAAGTGTGCAGTTTCCCCCTGAAAGTGGCTAACAATCTTTGTGTTTAGATACCTCAGATATGTAGTGAGTGTATTTTTGGCTCAAGATCATTCTTAATTCTTAGCTGGATAAAGCATGTAGAGGTATCCTCCATTCCATTGGGTATTATGCATAAAATTGTTTTAAATACCTTTTTTATCCTAAGCTTAACTTCCAGTAAAAGCATGGGTCACTTTGCTTAGATGGAATGATAATGTATGTGATTACTGTGAATAATGTATTACTGCCAACCTTCAAAACGGCATTACATTGAAGTTAATCTGGTGTATAATCCATTATTAGTTAAAGCAGAGGAAACCTGGATATAACTGTTGTGGTCTGGAAGAAGTGCACTGACTTTTGGAAACAGATACATGGAATATGATGCTGAGAACAAGAATGGAGAAAAGTAGCCGTCTTAACAGCACATCATAATACTTTATGTGTAATAAGAGTGGTTTGGGAATATTTTTTCCAGATACATTTGATTTTGAAAGATGAAATAAAGGCATAAGCAGTAGTAACATTAGCTCTTCAGTTGGAAGTTAGTCACACAGAGAAAGTTAGATCCTTTTTGTATGAGGGACGTTGGACTAAATGACTGGATTCTACAAAATATAAAAATTTTTATTAGAGCAAGAATTATATTGTGTACAGTCTTTAACCCCTGAAGGGAGGTAGGAAATGATTCTGTAGTCAAACCCTACATTTATACCTTTTGTCATACCACTTTGTTTCTTTAACCCTTAAAAAAAATCTTTTTCTTTGTCGTTTTCTAGGATGTAATTGGCTGTACTCAGGAGATGGATTTCATTCTTTGGCCTCGGAATGATATTGAGAAAATTGTTTGTCTCCTGTTTTCTAGGTGGAAGGAATCTGATGAACCTTTTAGGCCTGTTCAGGTAAATAAAGTAGTGAGCACTTCAGTGACAGCATCTGTAATAGGTTTAACTTAAATTCTGAGGGATATGCATCCAATAGTTATTTCATAAGTCTTTGCCATCTTTTTAAATATTATGTCGTATGAGAACAAATTTATAGAATCTCTTAACACGTTTGGTTTTTAATTAACTTTACTAACATCTTGCAGACTTTTTCCCCTCCCTGACAAAGTCTCAAGGTTGCCTAGACCGACCTCTAATCGCCTAGTACCCCAGGATGACCTTGAACTTCCTGAGAGTCTTGGCTCACCCTAGGTGTGTATAGCTGGATATAGAACCCAGGCTTCACAGAACCCAGGCTTCACGTTTCCAAGTCACTCAATCTACAGAGCTGCAATCCCCCCCCCCCCCAGTCCTCTTTACTGACTTCTAACTGCCATTTTTGGAACATGTTTTTAAAGGGCATTTATTAGCTGGGCAGTGGTGGTACGTGACTTTTCATCCTAGCACTTGGAAGACAGGCTGGCAGATAGTTCACGAACTATTACTTGAAATTGTGCCTAAAGGTTATTAAAAGCCAGTGTGTTAATCTTTCCCTAAATATTTTATATACACATTTAATCTAAATACTAATTAGTGATAACTAGGTGTGTGTGACCCTGTAGAAAAAGAAATGAGACAGTTTAAAAAAGAGAGCAATAATAAGTTCAGGGTCATTCAGTTTGGAACAAACAAGGCAAAAAGTAAGCCAAAATAAGTCCTCTTAAAAAGCTGGAGACGCGAGCTCCATCGGGTGAAGAGCACTCAGTCTTCACTGGAGCTGGTTCAATCTCTATTGCCCACATGGTGCCTTGCAACCAGGCACACACATGATATATGGACACACAGGCAGATAAAACAGCCATATAAAAAATAGTAATTAAATTAATAAAAGAAGGTAAAAGTCAACAAAGTAAAGCTTATACTCATGACTCACTGCCTTCTATGAAAAGTTCTTTGAACTAATTACAGGTTTCTTGAGCCTTCAGGATTGATTATAATATACGCGTAATAACTTTGCTATTAACTTATAGCTCACCTGCAGTAAAATAAGCTAGTAATGTGACGCTAATTTCATTCCCTTAAGAAATTAAAAGCAGCATCTGTATGTTTTATACCTTATTGGAATTGGTTCCAAAATATGGAATGCATATTCTCAGTTTATGTAAAACAGTATAGTATTAGCATATAAATTTCTGTATACTATTGATCATATCTGGCTTGCTTATAACAGCCACATAATGGTGTTACACATATTGTTTAGGACATAATGGGGATATGGAGTCCATATTTGTACATTACTGATAGGGTTTTATTTTTCCTCACATTTTCAGTCTGGGATATTGAAGATACGTAGTTGGTCTACTCAATCCTAAACAAGGCCATGGAGCTGCTGACCTTCCCAGCTGTGGCCCACTCCTCTCTTGGAAATGTTCTTAGTAAATGAACCCTGCTTCTCCCATTTAAAAAAAAGAGAGCCGGGCGGTGGTGGCGCACGCCTTTAATCCCAGCACAGGAGGCAGAGGCAGGCCGATCTCTGTGAGGCCAGACTATAGTCTACAAGAGCTAGTTCCAGGACAGGAACCAAAAGCTACAGAGAAACCCTGTCTCCAAAAAAAAAAAGAAAGAAAAAAAAAAGAAAGAAATTGAGAGGACTTAAATATAAAGGCAAATGAAAAAAGAAATTTTAACTCAGACTATTTTTAAAAACTCAATATTTGAAACTTCTAAATTTGAGTACATTTGTAGTGGTGTTTAGTAGGGAGTAAAAGCTTTGAATGTGTCCTTGTCATGCTTAGTACAGTGAGATGCTGCAAGAGACTAGAGTATTTTCATTATTTCAGAGAATTTTTGTGTCTTCCTTACGCCAGTTTTATTTGGTGTGGAACATTCCTTCCTCAAGAAGAAATTTAGTAGGATATAATTTAAATGCTATGGAACTATATGGTGAATCTCAGACTATTTTCATTTTTTTGTTGTTGTTGCTGTCTTTGGTTTTTTTTTTTTTTTTTTGGTTGAGACAAGGTTATTGTTAGCATCCTGGCACATCTGGCCCCACCCCTTGGGGTACCTTGCAGAGTGAGTCACCACTGCATCATGCCTGCCCCCCAGTGTTTTGTCCCTTTAAAAGGCAAAACTCCATCTATTTCTCTTCCTCTCTCTGTATCTCCCTCATTCTCAGTCTCTCTTCTCCACCAATCCTGTCCCCAGAGGCTGGTCTCTTTCCTCCCCCCTTTTCCATTCCTTTTCTCTCAATAAAACCACTCACATACGCTCTGTCTGTATGGCATGTCTGTCCTACCCACTAAGGTCTCTTAAGCATAGAATCATAATATTTGGTGCTGTGAGTACTATGTAGTCCTGGCTCAGCTGGAACTCTCAGAAATCCACCTGCTTCCTGGTGGTGAGATTAAAAGTGTGTGTCATCACACTCTGGCCCTGAATGCTAGATTTATAGCAAAAGCTATTGAGAGAGCTAGAGTCATGACCTAGAGACTTAGTGAAAGACTTGTGTGCAAGACCTGCTTATCCCTAGTGTCATCAAGAGAAAGGGAGAGATGAACAGTATAGCTCAGTGAAAGAGCCCAGCATTCATTCACAAGTTACCATGGCAGGGGTGGAAGTGTTAAATAAAATATATTTGATAGTGACAACTAAATAGCAGCCACTCATGACTTTACATCTTAATATTGCCTGCAGTGTTCTTAGTAGCATAATTGCTCAAGGCAAATGAACTGTAACTGTTTACAGTTCTGAATTATCTGAAAGATTTTAAAGATTTCTTGAGTTCTCTATTAAGCCTGATCTTTTTGCCTAGTATTTTCTCCCTTCTTTTGCTTTTAGACATGTGAAAGAATGAAGTTGACTTCTTCCATAATAGTAATTTTGGTTTTTTTCTTCCGTAGCATTTTTTTTCGGAAGCCCATTTGTATATGTAGGGCTGTGCATTTCATTGGATGCATTAGGTTTGCATTTCCTCTTTAATTGTCTGATGCAGTGGGTTAGAGCCTTAATGTATGGCAAGGAAGCTGAAGTTTTAAAGTTAAAAAGTATTTTAAAATCACCAAATTATGTTGGAGTGTTGTTAGTGGAATTTTCTGTAATGTGTTTCTCAAGAGATCAAGCTAGATGTGATTTGGGCATTTGAAATGTGACTGATGTTAACTGAAGTGTGTGTGTGAGTGAGTGATTTTGCTTCTTTGTTTTTGTTGTTTTGAGACAGGTAGTCTATCTTGTCTAGCCTCTGTCTTCTGATTGCTGGAATTACAATCATATGTTACTATACCTGCAAGAAGTGCGTTTATTTTAGTTTCATTTGAAATGAACTGAGTTTTACGTTGCCCATAACTTTAATTAAATCTAAAACACCCTGTGTGTCTCTTGTTTTCCATACTGGTCAGCACAAACATTCATGTGGAAGCAGTAGATGATGGTTAGTCAGTGCAATGTAATTGTAACTACATAAAATGTTTGTATTTTATAATTAGGCCAAATTTGAATTTCATCACGGTGACTATGAGAAACAGTTTCTGCATGTACTGAGCCGCAAGGACAAGACAGGAATTGTTGTCAACAATCCTAACCAGTCAGTGTTTCTCTTCATTGACAGACAGCATTTGCAGGTAAGGAATTTTTTAGGACTAGTTTGGTGCTCATTTTAAGTTAAGAAACCTGTCTTAGGCCCCTTCAGAGAAGTTCCCAGACTTTGTTTCTTATGAGCACTTCCTAAAGAGCAAGCTTTCCAAGTCCCTGGTCAATGGGGTAAATATCACCTGGGAGCTAATTAGAAATAGACTCAGTTACTGCTCCGCTTCCAGTTGATCAAAATATGTATTTTAAATAAAATAACTTGTGGAGGGGGAGTGCAAGTGTGCAGGTATGTATGGCTATATGTGGATGTGGTTCCTCATGCAGTGTCCAAGTCCTAGGGCTTCATCTGGTTCTGCTTCATAAGAACTGCATACCACTGAGATCCTTAGGCTTGCTCTAGCAAGCACTTGATTGACTAAACTATCCCCAGGACTAGTAGACCACTTAATGCGAATCTTAAAAAGTAAAGCAAAAAAAACTATTACTCACTTGTGGCAATCCAGGTATTTATCAAAACAGGCATCTGCAGTTAAAAAAATCAGGCTGAAAAGTGAGGATCGGCTAGGGCTGTTATTTATCAAGCATATTCAAGGTAGGGTGTAGTAAAAGGAGCGGAGGGCCACAGCCCAGCTCCCAGCTGCCTGGCTAGCTAGCTTATACACCGAAATAACAACACACAAATTGTATTCATTTAAACTTTAAACACTGCCTGGCCCATTATTTCTAGCCTCATATTGGCTAACTCACATCTTGATTAACCCATTTCCATTAAATCTGTGTAGCACCACGAGGCTGTGGCTTACTGGGAAAGATCCTAACCTCTGTCCATCTCGGGCTGGAGATTCATGGCGTCTGCCTGACTCTGCTTTCTTCCTCCCAGAATTCTGTTTTGTCTACTCTACCCACCTAAGGAAGGGCTCACCTGTCAAAAGGCCAAGGCAGCTTCTTTATTTAACCAATGAAAATAACACACAGACAGAAGACTGCTGTAGGGAATGCAGACATTTGAAGAGACAGTATGTGCTGAATTGAAAGGCATTAAGTGCAGTGTGTGCCATAGGTCTCCCTAGGGTGGACGGATAGATGTTCTTAGTACCTCTCGACTTTAGAGAATGTGTTTCTGCCTGGTGTTAAATTACACAAATCCTGCTCATAAAGTTATTGTGACTTGATTTTTGTGACATTTTCTGTTTTTGAGACAGGTCGCCTCTAAGTAACTCACAGAGATCTGCCTGCCTCTGCTTCCTTATTGTTATATCCCACCACACTAGTTTCCTTCCTCATGTTTCTGTTAACATTTTAAATGAAACTTGGTCTAGCATGTTTAAGGCCTGTGTTTCAATTAATGGCATTGAAAGCATATTGCGAGTACCTTTCAGTTTCTCAGTATCTACTATATAGAAGAGATTTGCTCAACAAGTTGGTGCATTTCTCAAAGCTCTTAAAAAGTTCAGGACTCTTAATTTCAAAATCAGGGGTTTTAACCTGGGTGGTAGTGGCACATACCTTTAATCCCAGCACTCTGAGGCAGAGATAGGCAGATCTCTATGAGTTCCAAGGCCAGCCTGGTGTACAGAGTGAGTTCCAGGTTCCAAAGCTACAGAGAAACCCTGTGTGGGAAAAAAACAGGGTTAGTGATCATCAAAAATAGAAAGACAAAGCTTTAATAAACTTGGAAGAATATCAAGTTAGAAGTTAGTTGGTTGCCGGGCGGTGGTGGCGCATGCCTTTAATCCCAGCACTCGGGAGGCAGAGGCAGGCGGATCTCTGTGAGTTCGAGGCCAGCCTGGTCTACAAGAGCTAGTTCCAGGACAGGAACCAAAAACTACGGAGAAACCCTGTCTCGGAAAAAAAAGTTGGTTGGTTGTCTCATAATTTTTAAAAATAAAAAAAAAAATTGGTTGTTTGGACACAGATCTGCATATTTTCCATCTGAGAGCAGATAGGAAACCCAGACCTTGTTTTACTGCTAAAGGGAACCTGTTTGTTCTTTGTTGCAGGAGCTGGTTCCAGAGCATATTACAGTTCTATTGACTTCCCTAGTGTTTTAATGCATAAATTCTCTGTGCAGTTATTTCAGGCATCTCCTATTTTCCCCCATATCATGCCTGGATAGAAAATTAGAAATCTCTTGCTATGTACACTTTATAGTAGTGTGCCATATGCCTTAAATTGTGAGGGGCTGACAGTTTAAAAAACTATTAAAATTACTAAAAATTTATTTCCTTCTAGACTCCAAAAAACAAAGCCACCATCTTCAAGTTATGCAGCATCTGCCTCTACCTGCCACAGGAACAGCTCACCCACTGGGCAGTTGGCACCATAGAGGATCACCTCCGTCCTTATATGCCAGAGTAAATAAGAGCATTGACCAGCAAAATGGAGAAGACCAGAGAATGCAGCAGCGATTTTCTTTTCTTGTTTTCTTACCACTTTTCTTTCAGAGTTTAAAGAAAATGGACTCATGCACAGAACACTATGCATTTTGAAACTTGTTCATCCTGGATTTATTTTAATCATTTGTATCACAGAACTTTAAAAAAAAATTAGATGTCTTCTGCACGGACTGTGTGAAAGAAGATGCTTTGCAGACTGCTGCACTGCATCGGCATCTTACTCAAATGTGAAGGAAGGACTATTATTGTACACTGAAATGCTTAATGTATCTGAAAGCACAGGTGATGCTCAGTGTTGTGGTCTTCATGTTTGTGCTGGTTTTTGCCTCTGACATCTGTCATCAGTATTGAGGGTGAGAGTGAATGTAACAGGTATAAATAACATTTAAAAACTTAATAGCTTTGCTATAATCACCGTTGTTCCAGAGCACTGTCAGATTCATTCTAATGACCAGAATGGTTGTCACAAAAAGAAATTACAACCATGGGAAAGAAATCTTAATGAAAAAAGCATCTCATTGAGGTTATTTCTGCCTCGTGTGCACTGGGCCATGTTTGTTTTCTTGGTACTCATTAGTACATGTATTTTTTTTCCCCAGATCTCTTTCCCCGAGTTGCTGTTATAGAGTACTCTGCTGTGTGCAGATGCATTTATACACATTAAAGCAGATCTGGAGTCTGGCGTGGCTAAATGCAGCTATAAAACCAAGGAACATTCATAGCTGCAAAAACCATCATAAGTAGAGGACTTTTTGGTTTTTGTTTTGTTTTGGTGTTAGAAAATTTAATTACAAATAAAAAAATCCAGTGAATTTTGCAGAAATACTGGTTTCTACACCATCCTAAAGAAGTTGAGTGTTTGGAATAGAAAACAAAATTAAAAGTGGGGATCTTATATTGTAAAAATAACCAGAGTGTCAAGAGTTCTGAAAGCAGAACTTGATTGTGCAATGACATAAGGAAAGACTACTGTATAGCTTTTTTTTTGTTTTTGTTTTTGTTTTTTTCTTTTAAATGAAGAAAAGCTTTGCTTAAGGGTTGCATACTTTTATTGGAGTAAATCGGAATGATCCTACTCCGTTGGAGTAAAACTAGTGCTTACTGGTTTTCATTTGTATTTAGCTTCTGGTTGGAATTTGGGGGGGAGGGAAATGAAACCTAAATAAAATAGGTGAAAGCTTCCTGGCTATTCAGATGAATATATAAAACTTGCAGTGTTAACTTTTTTATCTATTATCTCATGTCATTGGTCACTTCAGGTTTATTCAGAAAAAACTGGCAGTTGTAACATGAAGAAGAATATAAGACAGATGGTCAGCTTCAGTAGTTCCCTGCCTTTTGCTTTTGTTTCATAGAAAAGGGAGAAATAATCATTCTTAATGTACATGTTAGACAGTTAAGCAGCCATTTTTGTCTCAGAATAATTTCGATAAATTGGCAAAGACCGTATAAGATGTTCTGGTGTAACACATTAAGATTTTAGCATTTTGGCACGTATTTTTTCTTTGTATATTTGTAAATATTTACCCAACCATTGCATTTTTGCACACTATTTAATTTTTTGCCCTTTCATACTTAGGGCAATGTTACAAGTAAGCACAGGATTGTGTGTGTGTGTGTGTGTGGGGGGGGGAGACGGTGTTCTTGGTTACAATTTTTTTTTTTTTTGATTTTCGAGCTGGTTTCTCTGTAGCTTTGGAGCCTGTCCTGGAACTAGCTCTGTAGACCAGGCTGGTCTCGAACTCAGAGATTTCAGCACTCCCTAGTGCTGAAATTAAAGGCGTCACCATCGCCTGGCCATATCTTTTTTTTTTTTTTTTTAAAGAAATACCAATTCCCATTCCCTCACCTCCTCTCATTCCCTCCACACACCCTCTCACCCCATCTCCCTCTAATCCAAAGAGAGGGTAAGGCTCTTTGCTTTGTGGACCGTCCAAGGCCCTCCCTTTATTTATTTGGTTACAATATCTTATAGTACCATTACCAAGCTTCCAACATGACAGTGTATACCATCCATGTTCTTGTCAATTATCTCAAAAAGTTCAGTTTTTCTGTGGTTTGACTTTGTACCCTTCTGGTTAATATTCAGAAGCACATGCCATCTGCTCCTTAAAGCTAACTTTGGTTTCTGTACTATGTGCTTATTGCTAGTCATTGGTAGCAAAGAAGATGAAAATATCCACTTACCCCCCTTTAGTTACAATGAAGCTTAGTGCCTAACCAAGCCAATCTTTTGAAAAAAATATTTCAGCCTTGTATGTGTATGGGTGTGTGTATCATATCCATGCAATGCCCATGGAGGGAATCAAACTCAGGTCCTTTGGAAGAGCAGCCAGGGCTCTTAATTGTTACACTGTTTCCAGCCCCAACTAATCTTGATGGTTGCAAAAGATTTTTTCAAATTTCACTCAGTATATTTCAGCATTTTGTGAACCTTGTCACATATAATATGAAAGACTCGTTTCTTGAGCACTTTCATGGATAAATCACAGCACCTCTCTGAGTATCTGGACCCAGCTCCTACAAAAAGGTCCCTTTAGTAGGAAAGGATAGAAATCAAGATCTAGGTTTCCTGTTTGTCCACAGCTGAGGAGTCAAGAGGTCTGGTATCTAACACAACTATTGACTCAGATATTTCAAGTCCCTGAAAAATGAAGGAAGCAAGCGTCCTCTAGTTTTTGAGACCTTTGAGAAATGTAATTTGTTAACTTGAATATAGTACAGTAGGCTGGGAGACAAAGGGGCTCATGATATGTCCCCTCTATGCAAAAGATAAGTCGAGATACACAAAGTCAGCATAGAAAGGTACTTAGGCTATTTAGGCTATTTCTAGTGTCGGGCTTCATTTCAAACTTAGGCTACATACTACAGGCTCTTCATTTCCCAGTATGGCTGTGGTAGATCCACTTTGGAAATTGGTAATCATGTCTCATAAAGTAAATGGAAATGTGACAGTGTTTTAGAGCTGGGAAAGACCTAAAATTTCATTATTGCTGTGTTGACATGTCTCCTTAAACTGGGTTCTCAGGTAATGGTTTTTGGAGGTGGGAAGCCTTTTTTTGTGTGCTAATTCTTGTCCCCCTTTGCCATGTGAAGGCAACTATCTGAGTGTGGTGGAAGTTGAGCTGCAAGTCATTTCTAAGGTTTATGTGTTGTCCAGTCTATACGACTAACTAATGTCTGTCAAATTCATCTTTCTCCTTTAATACTAGGCGTCAGTTGTAGAGTAATATTAAAGTGGGTCTTCTAGCTTCTTTACTGTTACAAAAACAGTGAACTAAAACTAGTTAGGCAAGGTGGAACAACACCTACAATCCCAGCATTTAGGAGGCTGAAGCAGAAAATTGTGAGTTCAGTTATCCTGGGTGACAAAAAGCAAGACCAAAACATTGAGCCAAGAACACCTTCATGCAATGATCATGCACCTGACTAAAAGATGTTTCAAAAGAAAGATATCCCAGCTGGACTTGTGGCACACATTTAATCACAGCACCAGAGAGGCAAAGGAAGGTGGATCTCTGAGTTCAAGGTCAGCCTGCTCTACACAGTGAGTACCAGGATAGCCAGAGACTCTGGGAAAGAAAAGCAAAAAAAACCCAACCTCCGTAATATATTTTCGTTTTAGTTTCTGCACCCCAAAGAAAACACTTAGCTACTTCTAGTTTTGATATTTATTTCAGAAAGTTACTCATTGTTGGGCTTCATTGGGTCACCCTGCTGTTTGTTCCCTCAGTTTCCCAGGTGTTTAGTATGTCTGCCTTGTGCTATCAATTTCCCTGTGGTCTTGTTGGTCAGATCCACCGAGGCAAATGCAAGTGTTTTTCCTTGCTTCAGAATTTGTGCTGTGATCACTACTACTTCTCCAAGTTTAGCAGGTGACATAAACCTTAAAAGAAAACATTGAAATATAGTGGTTAGGTAATTGTTGAAAGATTGCGACAAACTCCTACAGGCTTTCCTGTGTAACCTACAGATTATCTCAGAATACTACTGGCAAGCTTTTGGTATCAAATTCAAGTAGTTGGTCTGCAAGATGCTCTTCTTTCCTTCATCTATGTGTGTCTTTTCACATAAACACGGGATTTCCTTGCCTTTTTTTCTTTAAAATTTCCTATTTCATATTTATTTGAAACCACTGAAAGAGTACCTGTAGCTTGCATTTAATCTCTTTAGCTTCTTAAAAGTGAAGTATCTGAGTGTTTACATCTCAGCAGACTTTATTCAACTCCAAAGTGAGTGTAAGAACCACAAGGAGTGGACTGGAGGCGTGGCACAACAGTTCAGAGCACTGGCTACTATAGAAGACCCAGGTTCAATTCCCAGCACTTGCACGCCAGCCCACAACCCTCTGTAACTCCAGTTCCAAGGGATCCGATTTCCAACCTCTGGTTCCTGTATTTGTGTGGTGCACATGCATACACTCTGATACATACACATACATTTAAGAAAGAAACTATAAGAAATGAAGAAAAGTTTTTAGCCATCTTGGTAATGAACTGCATATTCAGTTGTCCCTCTGTATCCGTGAGGATTAATGTAAATACACCTGTCCACACCAAATCCATAAATGCTAAGGGCCCTTATATAAAGTAAACATGCAAGTCAAGATCTACTTTACAAGAAATTTTAAGTTTAAATTTGCATTCATTTTGTGTGTGCTTGTACACAGTATATGAGTGAAGGTCAGCAGAAAACTTGGTGTCAGTTCTTCTACTATGTGAGTTCCAGGGGTCAGTCTCAAGTCATCAGATTTGGTAGGAAGTTCTCTTACCTACATCTCACTGGCCCCATAAGTTGTTGTTGCTTAGCTCTCCAGCTCTGTATCTTACTTTATGTGTATACCTCTGTGTGGATACATGCATACGAGTGTCCAAGAGGTGAGAGGGGTCAGGTCTCACTGAACTGGAATTAAAGGCGAGTGCTGGGAACCAAACTCAGGTCCTCTACAAGACTGTTACGTTCTTAAGCCATCTCTCCACCCCTTTTGTCTTCATGGGAAAATAGTCATCAATTGGGCTTGCTCACCACACAAGATAAAGACCACCAAATATGGCTCATTAGCATAATGTCTCTTCTGTCCATCTACAGTTTGTCCTGTATTTTGATTATTGAGCTCTCAACTTATTCCCAGGCTTAAGAGAAACTGACAGGGTTCCAGTTTTTTGAAACTGGGTCTTCTTGACCTTGAACTGAAGATCCTCTTGGCTCAGCCTCCCAAGTGCTAGGATAAAAGACTTGAGCCACTATGCCTAGCCTTAGAACTCAAGTTTTCAATTTGGAAAAGTGATGTACATTTTCACAATCGTGAATGACAGGCTATCTAGGCCATACTGCTCCCTGATCCTGTCATTTAAGCCATACTCACAGGAGATTCAGGATCCCTTCCTGGCACCTGTGTTCACTTTGTTGCAAGATTTTGGTAACACGGGAAATGGTCAACAACTTTTTTCCAAATGTCATTCACACTTTTCTTTGGGAGAAGAGGGTGGGGGTGGGGAACACAGGGTTTCATAAAGTCAAGGCTAGCTTTGAACTCTTCTGATCTTCCAATGTCTACCAAGTGTTGGGATTATACAACTACATCTGGCTAATTAGTGATACTTTAATTACTGTTTTAGGGGTTTTTGTTTGTTTTAAAGCGGGGTTTCACTATGTGGCCCAGGCTGGCCTGGAACTCACTAAATAGGTCGCCCAGCTTTGATGGACTCACAGGGGTTTCACTTGCTTCCCCCTCCCAAGATATGGGATTAAAGGTATGTCCCAGCATGCCTGGCACAAGTGATTTTTTTTTTTTTTGAGACAGGGTTTCTCTGTAGCTTTGGAGCCTGTCCTGGAACTAGCTCTGTAGACCAGGCTGGCCTTGAACTCACAGAGATCCGCCTTCCTCTACCTCCTGAGTTTTAGGATTAAAGATGTGCACTACCACCGCGGGCACAGGTGATACTTTTAAGGACTATATGAAAGTTATAAATCATGAGTTCAAACAACTATGGATTGAAGATATTTGAAAAACAAGCACACACGTCCACAAGATGTAGTTTTTGGTCACACCCCCACACAATATAGTGTTTTTTGAAACAAGTATGATTTTTTAAAAAAATCATCTGGATGGTATCTAGATACATACGTTACGTTCATGTCAACACTGACTCCAGGAAGCCCTCTTTCTGTCCCCATCAGAGCCATGGTTGATATGGAATCTATCAAAGTTGCTGTCAGGCCCCCATGGAGAGTACCAAACTTATTAGTATGCTCTTCTTCCACTTTCATTTCACAAATTACTTTATCAGGAGCAGCAGAGACAAGCGTCACCTAAATATTAAAATGTGAAAAAAATATTTGAACATTAATTCTGTGCTTTTTGAATAGCTCAAATACATCATCACAGCAAGAACAATCCTGACGCTGGAAGCTTGGCACAGAGCCACACACCTGTAATTCCAGCACGTGGGGCACAGAGGGAGGAGGACATGTATTACTAGGTGCCAGGGCTCTAATAGTGAAATCTTAAAAAATATGTATTTTTTAAAAACCATGCTGATAGGCATATGCACATGGAATGTAATGGAACAGGGTGTAAGGTGTTTTGGAGACAGAGTTACAGACAGTTGTAAGCCAGTCACCCATCCTGGGTGCTAGAAACAAATCCCAGGTCCTCTGTAAGACTAGTATGTGGTTTTAACCACAGAGCCATCTCTCTATCCCCCATAGTAAGATTTTGTCTTAAATTAATATATGCATGTGTGTGTGTGTCTGAGTATTTTGTCTGCATATACATGAACAGAGACTGCTCATTTGTTTCCTGGCCACCCTGACCTGAATAATCACACAGAAACCATATTTATTACAACACTGCTTGGTCAATGGCTTAGGCATATTCCAAGCTAGCTCTTACATCTTAAATTAATCTATTTCTTATTTATTTATTTATTCATTCATTCATTCATTTGGTTTTTTGAAACAGGGTTTCTCTGTACCTTTGGATCCTGTCCTGGAACTAGCTCTTGTAGACCAGGCAGGTCTTGAACTCACAGAGATCCGCCTGCCTCTGCCTCCCAAGTGCTGGGATTAAAGGCATGCACCACCACCGCCAGGCTGAAATTAAGACATTTCTATTCATCTGTATATCATCATGAGGTTGGGTCCTACCGGTAAGGTTCCAACAGCATCTTTCTCCTTTGACAGCTACATGGTATCTCTTTGACTCTGCCTACTTTCTCTCTATATCTCTTCCAGCCTGGCTATATTCTGCCCTGTCATAGGCCAAAGTAGTTTTTTTATTAACCAATGGTAATAAAACATATTCATAGCACACAGAGGGGAATCCCACATCACATATATGTCTAGTTCCGAGATCCTGTCTTTAAAAAGTCATTTGAACAAACAGAATATGCCTAAAAAAGTGGACTCAGAGCTGGGCAGTGGTGGCGCATGCCTGGTCTACAAGAGCTAGTTCCAGGACAGGCTCCAAAGCTGCCTTGACAATTAATGGTTGAAATTAGCCCTTTTATAATTTATTTTCTAGCTCAACCTTCAATATATTCTGATTACCAGAGTAAAGTCTGGCAGGAATACACTCCTGGACTCCTGCTTGCTGCTAGCTGGAGCTTAGAAACTGGGTTCCTGGCCTTAATAAACTCTCTTAGCATTCAGCTGGGATCAGTGTGCTAGGGCTACAAATGAGAGAGAGAGAGAGAGAGAGAGAGAGAGAGAGAGAGAGAGAGAATATATGTTCAAGAAAAACAATGTTGCCATGCTGTGGTGGCGCACGCCTTTAATCCCAGCACTTGGGAGGCAGAGGCAGGCGGATCTCTGTGAGGTCGAGACCAGCCTGGTCTACAAGAGCTAGTTCCAGGACAGGCGCCAAAACCACAGAGAAACCGTGTCTCGAAAAAACAAAACAAACAAAAAAAAAGGAAGAAAATGTTTTTTGCTATTCCTCATTTTGCAGAGTTCAGCTCATTGGGCTGAGAGATGGTTCAGCAGTTAAGCGTACTTGATACTCTTGCAGAGGACCCGAGTCTCATTCCTAGCACCCACATAGCAACTCATAACCATTTACAACTCCAGTTCCAGAAGATTCTTTTGGCCTCCATAGGCACCTGTAGGGAAATCACATACATAAAATAAACATAAAATATTAAAGAATTCAGAGGGTTGTATGTACCAGAATTCCCTTGTGTTTTTTTTTAATATTTAAATTTATTTTTGTGATTGAGTCTCTTGTGTGTATGTGTGCATCATGAGTGTGGCTGGTGCCCACAAAAGTAAGAAAAGGTCGGATACCTGCAACTTGGTTATGGATGGTTGTGAGTCACTGTGTGGGGCTGAGAACTGAACCCTGGTCCTCTAAGAGGTAGTTCTTCAGCCTCCCAAATGATAGCATCACAGGCCTGCATCACCAGGCAGGCCTAGCTCTCTTTGGACCTTTTCCATGAACCAACCCCCACAATCTGTCATCTTCTAACCACCAAAAAAAGGTTTTAAATTGGTTGTTTTTTAGTTTTTATACAAGCAGAGTAATTTTCTACATGAATTAATGAATAGTGCAAAACAGCTTAAAAAACAGGCTGGGAGATGTTCAGTCATTCAAGCTACTAGGATTATTAGTAAACTTCAGTCAGAACCCCATTTAAACAAAAGAAGTGGAATAATATAATTCAGCAATGTTAAATTATTGCTTGAAGGTCCCATTCATTTTTAAAGTATAATGAAAAGTATTACATGAACGATACAGAGAAAGCAAGGGTTCCTTTGGAAGCACTTTCGGGCTGTCCATGGTGGGGATGCGGTTTCTTTCTCTCCACCATCTCCAGCTGCAGGGATGGCAAGTATGCGCCACCACTAACAGGCTCTGTCCCCTCCCTTTCCTTCCTCATATCACAAATTTGCTTGCAAGCAGGTCACACACTGTGAACGCTCCCCATATTAAAATCTTTCACTACTGAGACCTTTTTCGAGGCAAAATTTGCAATGACCTCTAACTTTTTTCTGATCTTCCTGCCTCTGTCTTCTGAGTGCTGGATTACAGCTGTGCCCACCATCCCCAGTTGCCCAGCTCATACAGTAATGGGGATTAAACCTTGGGTTTTGTGCACAAAGGGCATCCTACCAACTGAGCTATAAATCCCCAGCACCCCCGTATTCTCTAAGGAATGTGCTGAGAGCTGTAAAATCCTCAGTCTCTTTAATGTGAATTTTCTTGGGGGTTCTTTTTCTGCAGCTTTATTTTCTTATTTATTCAACTATGTATTCACTGGACTGCAGGAAATTTTTACCTCTGAGATTAAACTCATGCGACCTTCGTAGTATATGTGGCTTGACCAAAACGTCACTACATGATGTATGACAGTTATATGCCACACAGATGGCGCCTATTTTGCTGATACATTCAGTGGTTCATTTCAGGGTCACCTCATATGTGACAGAATTGCTCTAGGTCTGTCATTTTAATTGTTGAGACAGCATCTCCCGTAGTCCAGGTTGACGCCACCTCTGAGAACCCTCTCCCGTTCACCCCAGCCTCCACCTGATGGGTACCAGGATTATAGGCAAACTACTATGCCTGGCTATCTATTCACTGTCGTAAGATGGGGAAATTTGTAGAAGCCTTTAGGCTTCTTCCCAAGTCAGTACAGCTTTAGTGCTTGAACTAGTTTTTACTCTACAGAAGGCCACGAAGGGGGATAAAATGAAATAATATAAGCTCCCTCAAACAATGCTGTGTTTTAAACAAGAGGTACATCAAAGGGGGGGGTGGAGAGTCAGTGTTGCCTGTTCCAGCTACAAGATGTCCTCACAAACCAATAGTCTATAACAGGAAGATGGGCCCAGAATGTAATAACCCTTCTTTTGTGTGCTGAGCAAGTATTCTTTTGTTTTGTTTTTTCGAGACAGGGTTTCTCTGTGTAACATTTCTGGCTATCATGGAACTCACTCTGTAGACCAGGCTGGTTTTGAACTCACAGAGCTATGCCTGCCTCTGCCTCCCAAGTGCTAGAAGTAATGGCATGTGATACCACAACCCGGCTGAACAAGTATTCTATCACTGAGCCACATTCAACATGTGCCTTTAAATCAAGAATTGGCAGGGCAAAAGGAATGAGTTTCATTTTTGTTTAGAGTTAGGTCTCAAGTACTCAAGAGCTGAGGATAACCTTGAATTGAACCCATGACCTTATGTGTGCACTTTACCCGGGTGTCGCACAATCAGTCCTTAGGTAATAATTGTTAACCAGAGATTTATGGGAAAATTACATTCTGTTGAGACAGTACATAAGCCCTCTCAAGATGAACGAACAATTCCAAGGACAGGGCAAAGACACAGTATATATCTAGAAAGGACAGTGTGGCAATTTAACTACCTTTGGATGCAAGGCAAAGTATTTCACTAGCAGCACAGTCAAGATTCCTCAAGCCAGGCCTGCTGCCATGTGGCCTGGGTGATTCTCTGTGATGAGGGGACACCGTGGTGAAAAGTTGTGTACTGTAGGGTACTGATTAGCACCCCTACTCTCTACCCATTAGATGCCAGAACATCTGTCTCCTATTCTGTTAACATGTGGTAAAAAAATGTCTCCAAGTAAACGTGTCTTCCATATAGGACAGAGTCCATACACTCATGAACTCAGGAGCCGTGGTTGCCATAGAATCATAGAATTCTATGACTCTTCATAGAATCAAGCTGGTTAGCATTCCAGCATGGAGGAAAGTGGCTCATGAGTCCCCACTCCAGCGGGAGAGTTATGGATAGCTGACCGCTTGTGGGGTGGAGAACAGTCAGTTTTCTTTAAGGCTATGGCATCTGGTAGGTCAGTTACATCCCAGTAGATGGTCCCATATGTAGTCTATGGACAGCACAAACGGACTCAAGGGGTTATTAAAAAATGAGCCAAAACTGGGTGTGGTGTTACATACCTTTAATCTCAGCACTTGGGAGACAGAGACAGGAGGATCTCTTGAGTTCAATGCCAGTCTACCAGCCTGCTATACTCAGGGAGCTCCAGGACAGCCAAGTCTAGAGAGACTTTGTTCCAAAAACAAAAACAAAATGGGGGGGGGCATGAAGTTGGGAGGCAGCAAGGAGTGGATCTGGGAGGACTTAGGGGGAGAACTAGGGAGTGAATAAGATACACACATAAACATACATATATATGCATATATATAAAAAGTTCTCAAAACAGAAATCTCAAGGTCCAAATCAGGAGCAGAAGGAGAGAGAGCACGAGCAAGGAACTCAGGACTGCGAGGGATGCAGCCACACACTGAGACAATGGGGATGTTCTATCAGGAACTCACCAAGACCAGCTCTG